TTGTTTTGGTCTGGACCAGGTGCTAAACACACGTCACTACCGGTTTACTATAAATAAAGGTGCTGAATCTTGAAGCCGTTTTATATGTGAACCTGGAGGCTGATCATGTTTGACTGTGTTAGCGACGCCGCCGAAGTCTGTCAGATCTTTTACTGATATTTTATGGATTTACTGTCTGTTTCTTAGAGTGTAGCCCCAGAGTCAAAGCCCCAGCGTTTCCCTCCACTCACCCTGCTGATCGCCAAGAGAAAGTCCAGTTTGCCTGAGCTGGTGGCCATGCAGTGCCGCAGCTTCCAGTAGACCAGGTGCTCCCAGGCGAACACCAGCAGGCTGAGGCCCATGGCCACCAGCAGCATGTAGAACACACCAGCCATGTTGTCGATGTCCAGCTTACTGCTCATCACCTCGATTTTGTCGTTGTGGCAGATTCCCGACAGCCAGAGGCGCTCCAGCATCTCAATCTCATCTGGAGCCAGCCGAGGACGGAGGATGGAAAAAAAAAAGGAGAGGACAAGAGTGAAGCGTTACTCAGATACACAGTGTAGGAGAATCTACCATCACAGATATAACCGTGATCTGAATGAGCGACTGTTTCCTCGTGTGGCGGCAGCAGAATCTGTGTCACTGAATGTTTTGGAGTTCATTTGGAATTCGACTTTTTAAAACTTTTTTTCGTTGTTTCAAAAGCAGAAAACACTGAAACACTTCACGTGTGGTCCTGTGATCTGAATCACATGAAACTGTTTTCCAAAAAAAAAGGAAAAAAAACAAAAAGGTCTTTTGCATCATTTCCTGCTTTGGACAGAACAAAACAAAATAAAACAAAACATGACCAGACCACATGAGTTTATACTGAAACAGTTCACAGATATACAAACAACAAAATAATCAAACACAACCTTTTATCTTGGTCATTATTCATTTTTTTTTTAATTAACTTTTATATTGAAATAGTTCTTGTGGTTCCCAAATCAAACATGAGAAAAACAAACGTTCCTGGGTCGGTACCAGCGTCAGAACAGTGGACAGATGGCGGTTCTGTGGAAGTGGAGGGTTGTTTTTAAACTAGTTATCGTTATTTTACTGAGAACTGACAGCCAAGAGCTGGTAGCAGCACAGAATCAGGTTACAAGAAAACAGTAAAAATAG